AGGGGTTAAAAATGTCAGCTAGATCTTCGTAATTCTCAAAAAGCATAATGTCATCCACTTGAGCCATGATCTGTTAGTTCGTAGTGAGCAGCCATTGTACAGAGTTTTTCTCCGTGTAAGAAACACTTGGAGAATGTTTACCGCTCCGTAATGTCGTCTATGGCTGGAGGAGCCCTTTCCAGGTTTTGCTCGACCACCATGACACCAAGAAATCGATGTCCACGTATCGCACTGGATAGATACTTCCGGAGTTGCCAGCGTGCCGAGTGCTCACTTCCGGTGAACTTCTCGGCACACGTCACTGACGGAACAGCGGAGGGGCGTCGTCCTTTTCGCTGTGATGCCGACAAATTCCCGTTAAGTTTTTAAACGTTGAACAGGGCATCGCAGCTGGTTGCTTAAGCGAGAGGTTGATGGTTGCTCTAATAGCATTTAAAAATTCTAAACTTTTATGTGGCTATGGTGCCGTCGTTTTGATCCAACTCCATGTTCTGGTCTCGACCGAGTAAGATTTCTGTTGAAATGGGTTTTGTTCTAGTAAACGTTTTACGCCACTTGCAATGCACTTATGTCGTATAAGTGCCGAATGTTATTAGAGGTGCTATAAGAGAGCAGCAAACACAAAAAAGAAGTAAGAGAGATAAGGACAATAGATGTTTGACAGGAAAGAAGGAGCAAACCGCACCAAAGCAGCCTCCAAAGACTCACGAAATAAATGGTTTGAGGTTTTAAGTAAAGAGTATCATAATAATATATCGAAACAGTAACGGCCATACAGTGCAAGGGAAAAGTAAGACAGATAGACAGAAACAGTTGAGGATGAGTCAAGAAGTGGAACCGAAAAGTGGCACCCTCCAATCATCCGCTTGAGACGTTACAATAGCCATAAGATCTATGCAATGTATTTCGACTGCAACATGTCGAGTGTAAGACTCGCTCATACATCACTTTTCAAAATGGCATTTGGCGGAGAGTTACTCTTTGCAGTTGAATAATAAAGTCACAAAGCGGTTTTCATAATTTATTGATGTGCGTCTGACACACCACTGATATCTATGTCGTTACCGCTGTAATTACACATTTTCTACATCATCTTTGACCTCTTGTCGTCTTTATACAACACTTATGCCCATTATGAATGGCGATCGAAGACAGATATTGTTTCAAAATATTCTCGGATTTTCATATTGTTTTTATCTGTTTATAACGGCACCCGGTTTATGAAGTGTTAAAAAAGTAGACATTGCTAAAAAGAATTCAGAGCAGATGTTTAAGATCTTATGCTGTCGTAAGAAATTTCTACCCTCTCTTTTCCGAAACGTTCAGCACTCGAGTGCTGTCTCCTTTCCCGGCTGTGTGCTCCTTTTACAAACTTGATGGAGTCCTCGACGTACCTCGTACAACCCCGCTTTCTTTCCTCTGGCTTCTTTGTTAGCGCAAATTCTCTCAGTTCTCACGTCTTTCCTATTTTTTTCTTGCTTTCATTCCCTTCCGATATTTGAATGCGCTTGTTTGTGTGTTTTTGTATGTTGTGTGAAAGTAAAAGAGAAAAGGGGTTATTGAGAAGGAAATTGGTGGATAGACGGGCATAAAAAGAGATAGACTCTCTGATACTCGCACGTGCAGAGGTAGAAAGATAATCTCAGTGGAAAAAGGGGATGATGGATGGACACACACACACTCACACACACACGCGCGCGCACACACACACACACACACACACACACACACACACACACACACACACACAC